GAAAATGCAGGTAGAACGACCATATTATTCAAGTTGTGAATATCCCTGTATGGACTAGGAATGTTCCGGTTTAAGATTCTGATAATATGATAACCTTAGATAAAAATATAAAGGTGTCACAGTATTGTGATTACTGCTCTAAAATATTTTCGTTTTAAATGCCTGGGTAAAAAAACTAAAACTTTTTCCCATTTGAACACTTTTGTTTTTAGAAACATTTATTATATTTTGGAGCAGTAAACATATCAGACCTAATTATCAAAATGAATCCTTGACTTCTGCTGTCCTCATTCATTTCAAAAACACAGATTTCTTTACAATTATAGGAATCTTTGGATATCTTTTCTGCTGGAGATAGAAAAAAATGTAAATAAAAATCTTACACATACCTTAGGAATGGTATAGCAGAATGTTTTAGCCGATTTTTAAAACCTTGACTTTTCGAAACCACGGTATACCTTGAAAATTGTTATCGTCCTATGCCTAATGGGCTTTTTCTATTATAAATGTGATGTGAATGGAGGAATGCGCATAAGCACAAATGAAAATGTGTTATTAGTATAATGCAAGTAATATTACGCAAGTTACATTTTGGACCGTATTACCTATTTTTAGCTGATCATTTGTGCATCTCAGAGCAACACTGTATTGTTTCATTGTTGAGTCAAGCTCTTTTTGTACAAACACGCGAGTCAATGATTCATTCATAAAAGCAGCTGTGACTCAGAATGTTTGGATGAAAGATTCAGCGAATCACTTATTAGGACAGGGTCTTAACAGGGCCGGTATAAGATTCTGATGGTATGATAACCTTGGATAAAAATTTCACAGTTTTTTTTGTGTTGTGATTACTGCTCTAAAATAAGTTCTTATTAAATGTCTGGGTAAAAAACAACTTTTTCCCCTTTGAACACTATATTTTATTTAAAAAAGCATTTAAAATATTTTGGAGCAGTAAACATGTCAGGCTAAATTATAAAAATAAATCATTGACTTCTGTTGTCCATAACAATTTAAAACGGCATCTTTGGATCTCTATTCTGCTGGAAATACTGTTCTAAAAACCAAAACAAACAAGTAAATAAAGAAATCTTACACAATGGTATAGCATAAAATTTTGGCGGTTTTAAAACCTTGACTTTTCCCAACCGCCATATACCTTCAAAACGGTTATCGTCCCATGTCTACTTGCTAATGTAAATATAATGGCATGATTGGAAAATGTTTTATTTTTTATCAATATTGCATACCTCTATTATTTTATTGATCTAATATAGACATTTTTCCACAAAGAGAAAAAGTTGTATTTTATTTATTTGTTTTAGCTATTACACCATCATTCAAAACAGCGTACATATCATCATATTTCTGTGCAAAGCCAGCGCTATAAACTTTCTCTACTACATCTCATGTCATCTTGTAATGTGTTCGACCTCATGCCGTCCAACTTAACCCATCTTGCCTTTTTTTCATCCCCACTATTTAGATTCCTAAAGGGAAAATGTTAATTGCCCACAAACTTTATTTGTAAGTGAGGCCACTTTTTCCAGCTCTTGCCCTTTCTTGTCCACAAATTGCATCATCACTCACCCGTTTGTATAAGCTTTGTGTTGCGATCTTTTTAGCCACCAGAGTGCTACATGTGCAGCATGTGTGAAACAAACTGTTTCTGCATGCTCACTGCAAGATCCTCAGTGTCCAATTGGAATGGCTGTGTTGTACCAATATAATAAAATTTGGAAAAGTCTGACGTTGTGCAGTTAAAAAGTGTCTAAAGGTTATTTTGCTTTTGGGAGTTATGTGTGAAAAATTAAACGAGCACATGAGATAACACTGCATTCAAATTAGACTTAAGCCAGATTAGGTTTTTTTTTTTTTTTTTTTTTTTTGAGCTTGAAAATGACTTCTGTATTTTTGTTTTGTTTCTCACGGCATGTATTTAGTCCTTCACTATTGACAGTCTTATTAAATTATGTTGCTTTACACACAGTATTTTTTATTTGCCAGACTGCACAGAACTTGCAAGGGTTGCAATCTTGATGGCGATGTGTGAAAATGTACAACACGCATCACACGTGTGGGTTGCATTTCAGGGACAAAATTGTGTTGCACTGACAATGGCTTTGTTTGTCTGTGCGCAGGTGAGGAACAGAATAAAGAGGCGCTGCAAGATGTGGAGGATGAAAACCAATGAGACAACACCGCCAATATGAGACTCCACCCCACCCCCCTCCCCTTCCCCAAAACCCCACTCACAAAGGGAGCCACCAAGCCCAACCTTATGAGTGGCACTCAACAGCTTGATGCCTCCAGTTTTTCTCTCCCTTTGTTTGATTTTTAATATTATTCTGTTTTATTAGCCCTTAAATTGAAATAAAATATACCACTCATGAAACAAACTTCAATTATGATTTTTGAATGGTCAGAACTTTTTTTTTTTTTTTTTTTTTTTGTCCTGGTACAATTTTTTTGTTCTTTTTTTTTTTTTTAATGTTCAATTGCTTTTTCTCAACATTTTTATCAGTTGCTGGATATATTTTGAGTTTTTCTTAATGTAATTACAGAAATTAACTTTTATTACTATTACTGATATGTCTACTATTAGTGGTTTGAGCTGTAATATTTCTGTGTTAGTGCAATTATAAAACAAAAGAAAGAAATGCAGTTAAAGAAAACGATTAAATCTTTTAAAAGGGCAAGTCTAAACAAAGTGCTCTTTATAATAATTTAGTTTTTCAGAGAAAGTCGAAGCAAATTTCTTGATATCCATGTGGAGCAAAATGCTTAACATCACAAAGTAGTAGTTATGTAGTAACATTTACCAGTGGTCTGGACTGTAATTTGTGCTAAAATACTGTATTGCTCACATAGGCTGATGATTGTGGATGGATGGACGGATGGCTGCAGCTCTAGAAAACTGAAGGAGCCTTGTTGCTTTTAGAACTAAGACAAATGCAGGTCTCCATTTGGCTGTCTCAAAAAGAAAAGAAAAGCACTAATAAAGTTGATTTTAAGCCTGCATGACTACATGAAATAGTCTATTTTTCTTCTCCCCCTCCCCCCTCCTCGAATCTACATAATGCATATGATTTCTTCTGTACTTTGTTAACTTGAAACTAGTTTGTACTACTGGATATCTGACTGGAACAACAGACCTAGAATCTGTATTACGACGAAACAGCATGGAATTAACAATTAACTTAAATAAAACTGCCTCAAGTAAAATATTTAACCACCTCTTCTGCACTCGAAATGTTTTCCTTTCTTCCTGATTTTTGCATTTTTGCTTTTTCTTGAAAAGAAATGCAATGTTTTGTCTGGTATTAAAGCTTTTCTCTTGCAAAGTTATGGGAATTAATAATGTTTTATAAAGGGAACATTTCTGCTTATGCTTTTACAGGAAGAGGAAATCAATATGGCTTGCATTTGGCAAGCAGGATAGACGGTTCAAGATGTTAGGTTTTAGTCTGCCTTTTCATGTAGGATTTGTGTATATACAGTTGAAGTCAGAATTATCAGCCCCCCTGTTTATTTTTTTCCCCAATTTCTGTTTAACAGAGAGATGTTTTTTCCCAACACAATTCTAAACATAGTAGTTTTAGTAACTCATTTCTAATAACTGATTTATTTTATCTTTTCCATGATGATATTTTTCAAGACACTTTTATACAGCTTAAAGAGAGATTTAAAGGCCTTACTAGGTTAATTAGGTTAACTAGGCAGGTTAGGGTAATTAGGCAAGTTATTGTGTAACGATGGTTTGTTCTGTAGACTATCAATATATATATATATATATATATATATATATATATATATATATATATATATATATATATAGCTTAAAGGGGCATTGACCTTAAAATGATTTTTAGAAAATTTAAAACTGCTTTTATTTTAGCCAAAATAAAACAAAACTTCATCCAGCAGAAAAAATACTATCAGGCATACTGTGAAAAATTCCTTGCTCCGTTAAATATCATTTGGGAAATATTTTAAAAAGACAGAAACATTCAAAGGGGGTTTAATCTGGTTTCAACGGTATAAATTTATTATTTTTTTTGTACATTTTATAAATGGTGTATTTTTTATAAATAGTTTAAGCTCACTGAGAATTGCATCTTCATTTTTAGTGAAAGATATCGATGAGTTTGAGGTTCAGGGCTCTGTTATGATATTAATCTGACTGAAGCCCAATTCAGCAGTGGATCAGAAGATCTTAAGATGATTTAATGTACAGACAGGCTTCAAATTAACCAATTTATTTTAAATCACAACTTCAATAATTACAAAATATTCTGATCTACAGCTATAGTAACATTAAAGCAACAATTACACAACAATGTACAATGTTGTACACAACACAACAATGTATATGTAGATTTCATGTTAATTCTATGGTAATTTCAATGTTGTCATAAACATTTACTTCAATTGAAATCTAGTAGTGTAGTTTATCCCAGGACAAAAGCCTCAACCTGGATTCTGCAATATTATAAGGGTTTATAATAAAATACTAAAATATTAAATAATAAAAATGTTCTGTTGTTGTATCTATCATTTCAAATGTTTCCAACAAAGCAACATGTGTTACTCATAAGATATCACACACACACAAAAAAGCAAAAGTCATATTAGTAAAATAATAATTAAAAATGAAAACGATTGCCAATTGGGAAATATGATTATCAACAAAAGGTTTATGGAGATATGCGAAAAAGTATAAGAAAAATATGTTGATTCTTAATACTAATAAAACAAGTAACTTATATAGATAATTAAAGTGTTTTCATACCTAAAATGGTACTACATTAACGAGATCTAAAATGACTAGAAAATTGCAATACTTTTCAACTGATATATTAAAACGCTTTACAAACCAATATTAATTGTTTAAAAAAAAAATTAAAAATAGTGTGACGTAGATATTAAAAGATGGATAAAGAGATGAAGTAGTCGCGACTTTTATTTTGAAACTATTTTGGCTGTCATTGAAACTCCACCCTTTGTTAAAGCGTTAGCAGGAAGTTCTTACTAAAAATACCCCCGACGTCAGGCTAAAGAAAGAACCCGACCCAGCCGGACAGATTTTGGGATTTCATGAGGACGCCAAGGTGCCTTCGGAAACATGTCGGGACAGAGGGCAAGAGACCTGTGTTCAGCGAATAAATGCCCGCTGCTGCTTTTATCTCTGCTCGTTGTTTATATCAGCTCCATCAACTCAGTTTCCGCAGGCGAGCTGAAGACAGAGACTTACAACAAATACTACAATTACGACGAACTTACCGAGCTTCTCAAAAGTCTCGCCGTTAAACACCCCAGCATCGCCAATCTGACCAGCATCGGCAGGTCCGTTGAAGGCAGAGAGCTGTGGGTGATGAGAGTCACCAAAGACATCAGTGCTGCTGATGGAACAGGAAAACCCAAATTCAAGTATGTGGGCAACATGCACGGAGACGAGACCGTGTCCCGACAGGTGTTGGTTTACCTGCTGGAGGACCTACTGGAGAAGTACGGGGAGGATCAGCGGGTCACGGAGCTCGTCAACACCACCGATATTTACATCCTGCCGAGTATGAATCCTGACGGCTTTGAAAGGTCCGTGGAGGGGGATTGTTTGGGCAAAGATGAGGGTCGGCATAATGCTAAAAACATCGACCTGAATAGAAGTTTCCCAGATCAGTTTGAGGAAATACACTTGAATGCAGAAGACATCCCTGAAGTTACTGCTGTCATAAAGTGGATCCTGGAGAACAAGTAAGGCCATTCACGTAGACTTGCTAGAAAAATCAAACTTATGACCATATGAAAGGAATAGTTCAACCCTCACTCAAAAATGTTGCTTGTTAAAACTACTTATTTAAAATGAGTTGGAACAGCACAATTCTTGAGTTTTTTTGGGGGGACAACCTAATTTTTTATGTTAAACCCACCTAAATTTGTAAAAACTAATAAATTAACTTTAGTTCTTCATGTTGTGCCAACACAAATTGATTGTGTGGAACCCAGCATTTTTTACAGGACTAAATGTAATCTTTCTCTCACAAATTACTCACCCTCAAGTGGTTTCAAATCTTTTTGAGCCTCCCTTTGTCAACACAAAATCATTTACTTTGAAAATTATTTAAAAAAACTACCTTCAATAGAAGGAAAAACAGAGAATGTGGATGTCAATGAATACATTTTTCTAAATATCTTCTTTTTTATTCAACAGACGAAAAAAAAAAACTCAACAAGTTTGTGATGAGTAAAGGAGTAAATGAATGCTTTAAATCAGTTAGAAACCTTCTTCGGTTTCAAAAAAGCAGACGTTTACCTACAACTGGACTTTCTAAAAGGGTTTTAGTTATCTAGTAATAATGCTTGGAAATAGAAAATATTAAAATTCATACAAAATCCCACTCATTCACTTCTGATTACTTTTTTAAACGGGTATAATTGTGACACTTAACAATAGTTCTCCATTAGTTATGCATTAGTTTAATACAACTGTTTAGCTCATGAATTTGAAAGTTACATTACAAATATGTTTACTAGTATAGTAACTTTCTAATCAATGCAGTTTTGAAATGTAAACAAATGAAACCTTATTATAATGTGTTACCATGTCAATAATATTAAAAAAAATGTCAACTCGTAGAGCTAATAGTAATAATTATAGAGATATATTAATTAGAAGATATACCCTTTTCTAATTAACATCTACAGTATTTCAGTTTATTTTCTGAGAGTATTGTTGTGGTTATTATTTTTGCAAGTGCAGTGTCTGTAGAGTCTTAGAATCCAGCATATGCATCGTGTTTACTTTAATAAATTTTCCCTCCAGATTTGTTCTCTCTGGTAATCTGCACGGCGGGACGGTAGTGGCCAGTTATCCCTATGATGACTCTGCAGGTCATTCTACTGATGGCACCTATAGCAGATCTCCCGATGATGCCCTCTTCAGGCACTTGGCCCTTGTTTACGCAGAGAATAACCCGGTTATGAAAACCGGGCAGCCAAAGTGTGAGGACAACGTGAACGAATCCTTCCCGGATGGCATCACAAATGGAGCAAAGTGGTATGACGTACCAGGTACGTCGTCATCTTACACATTCTTCAAATTTTCATTTTTTTTTCTTCTGTTTATCTGAATGTCACAGTCTTTTTAGCAGTCATGCAAATGCAAATTTCCAATCCAGTGGGGTATTTTGCATGCACTGCAAGGAATGGTCTTTATTTGATTTCACCCACATTTTAGTTCTCTCAGACCATTCCATATATATAGTCATCATGGGATGTTTATAACGTTTTCACTGGTTAGAAAGACAATAGTCTAAGAAGTAATCCAAAACCTGGTCTGTAAGCTTACTGTTCTGGCGTTCTCTGATTACTTTCCTTACCAGGCTGTAACTTCAGTCTCTGCAGTCTGTATTCTCAACCATTATTGTCAAACTGCAGAAATCTGATCCAAAATGTGCCTTGAGGCTTGCAGGCCAGGTCCATGATGTACTTAGGACTTGCCCAACCAGCCTCATAGTAAATACATCTTATTTGTTGTATTTGGGCAGGATTCCTTCAAGTTTTGTTTGGTTGTTGTTTACAAAGGGGAAATCACTAGGAGAATTCTCTATGTGAGGGGGTGATGAAAATATTATGAATTACGACATATCTGAGGCCAACATTAAATATATGACACCCTCTTTGGTATCAGATTTCTTCCTGAGTTTAATTCCCATGCAAATGTCACCTGATCTTTAGCTGTTTGTTTTATGACGTGTGCTCAAAGTATTACGTTTATCTTTTCAGCATGCTGTCTTTCAGATTGAGTCACACAGCAATCATTTTTATTTTTCATTTTAACTTTAGTAGAAGTTTAATACTTTTTCACATCTTGGTCATTTCTCTTGGTCATGCTTTAAGCACTAAAATTCTAACATTTTTCTAAGATTTTCACCTCAGTAAATTACTACTTTGCTACTTATCAGTTAGGTTAGCGGATTAGGGATTGGGAAGTATTAGGGATGTAGAAAAAGATTATACTCAGTGGTGTAAAGTAACTAATTACAAATACTCAAATTACTGTAATTAATTTATTTTTCTCAGGAAATGTAATTTACTGAGTAGTTTTAAAAATGTGTACTTTACATTTTTAGTGCAAATGTACTTTTACTCTCACTACTTTCCTTCAACCTGCAGTCACTACTTTATTTTTTCTTGTCTATGGGAATTAGTAAAGTCAGTCCTGTAATTCCTGTCCAATCAAGTCATACATAGAAGGTAAATTGCATCATAATGAACTACTTCCATGTTTGGAAGCATTAAGTGTCCAAGAAGATGTTCAAAATCTTCACATGCATTGACCCAGAGACTGTTTAGATCAGGGATGCCCAAACCCAGGCTGTTTCTTAATTCCAAGAACGCAGAGAACGGACTTGCGTTCTTGTGGAGACCGGTCTTGCCAAATGTCCTCGGAAGAACGAACTCGGGAGACCACGAGGGCAAAGAATCCGTCCTTTGAGAAATGAGATGCTGCGTTCTTCCTGATGGTCACATGACCTTCACGGGTTTTAAATGGTAAATTATTTAAACATTACAGCATTCATACAAAGATTTGTTTTCCCCCCTTTTAAAAATATATACTGTGCATAAAAACATTATCAATATACTCTGCACAATATAAATAAAACTGATTTTACTACGAATTTCAGCAAACAAACACCCAATAATGTGTTTATTCCTTTATTAAGATGTCCATGGTAATGTTTACCTCCACTGTTTCATTTAGGGAAACTCCTTAGGTAAATAAGGTAAATCTCTGAACTTAATAAATCTAGATAAAATGCTGCGCTTCCCACCTCCAGTCGCAATGACTTATGGGACTTCCAGAGCGAGTTTGACGCTCAAGTCTGCATCGGTGCGTCCTCCATATTAAGATCACATCCGGGAAGTTTCACGCATCCTCTGTTCTTGTGGTCTTGAGTATTGGAAGGAGCTGAACTTTGGCAGGTGATGATGTCGTTACACGAGAACTTGAGAAAGCCTAGTATGAGATTAATTAGCTAGCCCAGGTCCGTCTAATTGGGATTGGAACTAAACTTTGCAGGACACCGGCTCTCCAGGACCGAGTATTTGCACCCCTGGTTTAGATGCATGTCACTGATGAGAAGATGATGGATATTTACTGTATGATTACGAAATGGCCTTAAACACATAGCAGGCACAAGACGTCAACATGCCGTCAGATTGAAATCGTACTATAACGTCGTGGAGACGCTGCATTTTGTTGGGAAATGAAAATCGGGTTTACATCAGAACTCAACGTCAGCGCAATGTCCAACGTCCAACCTAAAACCAACCAAATATCAATGTCTAATGATGTTACAGCTTGCCGTTGTGTCGACGTTACCACCATGACATCTATCAGACGTTGAATTTTGGTTGCCATAACTGATGAATAAATGTCAATATTTGACATCAATAGAATGTTGGTTTAAGATGTAGGCTCAACATTGGATTTTGGTCACTTTTTAAAAACCTAAAATCAACCAAATATCAACATTATTTGATGTCATTATTGGACATCAAAATAGTGTTGTCCTTAAATGCTGGCTAGACATTGAATTTTGGTCACCTGACATCACCACCTAAATCTAACTTGATATTACCTGATTATGACATTGTGTGCCTGCTGGGCAATAACTAAATGCACTACAGAATGTTAGGCTTACACACACACATCCACAAATTACATGTAAAAGCATCAAGTTTTAACAGCATAATACTCATTACTCAATACTCATGAGTACGTTTAAAAGGGCTACTTTTTACTCCTACTTTGAGTAATATTTACAACAGGTACTTTTACTCTACTCACACTACATTTTTTTAGGCAAGTAATGGTACTTTTACTTAAGTATGCTTTTTCAGTACTCTTTCCACCACTGATTATACTTTATAAATACTAATAAATGGCCAAATTTGACATTGGCCATAAAATTGACATATTGCTAGATATTGCTCAATCCACGCAATTAGTTTGGGCTGGGGCGTCCAGCCAAGCTCCTCCGTCTGGCTGATGTCACATAATTTGCGACGCTCTCCTCATGTAGCAAAACCATAGAGCGAAACAGACGGCAAAATGGGAAAATGCAAGTTTGCGTAATTCTGGTTGGAGAAAGACGAGTTGAAACAGTGGCTGAAGCCGGTCACTGAAAACAACACTGTAATTTATTCTTTAATTTATTCTCCACGTAATTTGTTCCTTTCGAGCTTATCTGGGTTCTGTTGCAGTTGTGCTTCATTGATTTATTTAACTACAACTGTTTATTAACAACAGTTTATTAAGTTAAAGGGTTAATACTGATTAGAACTTGAAGTGGCGATGAGTTCTTAAAATATTCTGAGAAGGTCTTTAAAAAGTATTAAAAATATCTTTTAAATTTCGGCTTTAAAACTCTCTCGATTAGTTTAGAAAGTTTTAAGTTTGCATTTTTTTGACATTCATATTTTATTTCAGTAAGTTAAACTGTTTTTTGCAGTTTAATTTTTAGTCCGTAATAATAACTACAGATTACAAAATTGTCATACTTATTTGTTTTAGTAACTGGTATATTTTATCATATAGGATCAAGGTAGCAACTTAAAAAGTCTGTTCTGTGACCTAAATCCTGTCTTCAATATACTTTGAAGATCTACAGACCACTGGCTACATTTATAAAGTTAATATTTAATCGTTTTATGACAATTCCAGCTCTGTCTAGGCAGTCATTTCTTGTTTCCTCATACTTGTATGGGAAAAATAAAAACATGATGGAAGGTTCTCAGAATGAAGAATAGTTGTTGCACTTTACCATGACACTGTGGCACATTTTAATAAGCAAGTTTAACCTTAGTCTTTACTCTTTACCTAATATTATGCACAAGGATCATGTGCTAAAACAGGATCTCTCTCTTTGACTCATCAGGATGCCGTCACGTTTGTTTGTTTTTCTGTGTAGCCGTTACAGTCAGAATAACTGTTAATAAGGATGTGTGACTCTGACAAACAGAGTAACTGTGTGTCTAGCACCTTCATTAAACATGTTGCTTTTAATCACAAGAGTCGTCTTGTGAGTGTCAGTCTTTTTACTCTAGACCGCATGACGTGTTTTGAAATAAAGTAACTGTTTTACTGGTTGTTATCTTACTGAAAGGTTAGATTTACAGGCAATTTGCTTACAATTTGGTCTGTCCTCTGAATTTGCATGACTGGAAATAGCTGCCCTGAGCATTGCTATGTTTGGCAAGTGTATTTAGCTGTTACTATAAAAATGACATTGCACGAATGCTAGAGCATTTTGCCCTCTTATTTCTGCTTTTGTGTTATTCATCTGTGAAAGTCAATAAGCCCACATCTTTGGCAATCAAGTGCATTTTAAAATGGTAAAAACACACTTAGATACAGTATATGTGTTGTGTTTTCTTCCATCTCGAGTTTGTTCCAGTTCTAGTTTGGTTTAGCTAATTTAGTAGATGGTTTGAAGTGTTTGTTTAGTTCAGATTCAGATGAGGTGCTTCCTCTGATCCTGGTCTTGTGTGATAAATGCAGAGAGCAGTCCTCAACTCTAGGCTATACTTAATTTTCTGCATTTGTTAGATGCTTTTATACTCTATGACAGTGCTTTGTGTGACATTTAAATTCGCAATGAAAAGCTTTTTCTGTGTGTTTTTTTGTTTATTTATTTTTATTGTTAATGATTTCAACTGAAGTGGAGAAGAGATTTACGTTAGCAGCTAGCGAGCTATCTGTGGGCAACTAAATCAGTTCTTCCATTACTGATCCTAAGTTATGTAATGTGAAAAACACATTGGCTAAGTTATTATTATACCCAACAAAAGGGACCAACAGAGTTTTATTTTGTGGGTTCAGTTTATCTGAAAACACATGCATGGATTAAAATTTTATTAAGTTAATTGCCATTCTTTCGCTCGATTAGAACAGATTAAGAGCTGAGTGATATGACATGAAACATCGATATGCTTTAAACATTAATATTCAACAGTGTTAAACTAAATTGGCCTTTTTGCGTGAGTGTGTGAGTGAGTGTGTGAGTGAGTTTGTGAGTGAGTGAATGCTAGAGTGTTTCCCAATACTGGGTTGTGGCTGGAAGGGCATCCGCTGTGTAAGACACATGCCAGAATAGCTGGCGGTTCATTCCACTGTGGCGACCCCTGATAAATAAGGGACTAAGACAAAGGAAAATATTTAGCAGTTCACGTGTGTGTTGCCTCAATACAAGCATACAATTGTGTATCACTATAAAAATACACTGTAAATTTCACAATATATACACAATAATCAGACCGCATGCCTCATCAGGGTGGAGCTGAATAGATTCTGTTTCCTGAAATCCCTGAATTTTTCACTCTGAGATGTCAACAGCTGAAATACTCTGTGGCAACGCATAGCTGCCGGCTTCCTACACTTCCTTAAAGTGGAATGTCACAGTCTGGGGTTTTATCAAATTGGACTGTGTTTCATTGGAATTGTTTGTTTGAGGATCTACAGGAGATTGAGGAAACAATAGTGCTTGAGGCTATATCATTTTCACATACTGAACTCTTATCATTCAGCTATACCCAAGTATATCCAGATATTCATTCAGTGGCACCTTAGAAGAAAATTAATTGGCCTATTTATGGTGGCATAAGACAGGCAACATACTATTATATTATATAAACAAAAATCTTCTTTAGACTATTTTAAGAACGCATCTCCTCCTAGACCGTTCATACTACAACCTCCAAACCTCCAAACTATACTGAATTAAGTTGCTATGTATTTTCCAACTGATCCAACTTACGATTTACTGAAAATTGACCCAGAAATTTTGGAAAAGTCCCATTTACTACACATTGGGTCAAAATTTATGACCTCATATCTTTCCGCCAGACAGTCATACAGATTTAATGTTGGGCGCATTTAACTCCTTTAACCAATCTGCCAATCACTAAGTCAACTTACTAGCCACACCCTAGCAACCATGTACAGCCCCCGAGCCACTGTCCCACAGACTTCTATTTAAAAAAAAAAACTGCCATTAACTTTACATTGGACATACTAACAACACACCAATCCAAACTAGCAATATATTAAATATATACTAGAAACATACTAACAACATACTAACATACTTGTAACATGCTAATTTAAATTATAAATGTACTAGCAACATGCTGTTTTATACTAAATTCATACTAACAGTGTGCTAGTTTTTAAACACTAGAAACCTAATAACAACATGCTAATTCATACTAGAACCATGCTAAAAACATGGTAGATTATGCTAGAAACATGCTAGCAACATGCTAATTTAAGCAACCACCTAGCAACACCTTAGTAACCACCTAGCAGCACCTTAGCAGCGACCAGAACACCTTAGGCAACCATCTAGCAAAACCTTAGCAACCAGTCATAACACTCTAGCCACCACCTAGCAATGCCTTAGCTACTACTCAAAACCGCATGGCAACCACCTAGCAACCACTCACAACACCCCAGCAATCACCTAGCAACACCTTGACAACTACCTGGAACACCCTAGCAACTGCTTTGCAACACCTTAGCAATTGTCTAGCAACAACTGAGAACACCTTAGCAACTGCCTAGAAATGCCTTAACAATCAGTCAAACCATCCTAGCAACCACTCCGAACAGCCTAGCAAAGCCTTAGCAACCATTCAAATCAACCAACTAACGAGCATACCTGGCAACACTCCCGTTTTTCCCAGGAGTCTCCTGTATTTCAGACCCATCTCCCGTTTTGTTCTGTCTTCCAGAAAACTCCCGAAATTTCATCCCCACCCCCGACCGCCTCTCCCTCTTTTCTCAGCTTTTTGGTACAGTTGTCGGATCGCCGACCTTGGTAGTACAGACCAGGGACCCCACTCTTCAGTTTTTGGCTCTTCAATTCGTAAAACTCCCACCAACCCCCCCTTCAGTTAGCAAAACTCTGAACATTAAACATGACGATCCATACTAGAAATACACTGACATATATGTAGTTATCTATGGAATTAAATCACTGTCATAAATATTTTGTGCGTAAATAAATATTGTGAGCATAATTTACGTTACAGGCAGCAAGCACAGAATTTCTCAGTGATCACTTAACAGTTTTTAAGTATAACATGACATCTGTTGATTAAGTAAAGTACACCCATCGTAAATTTATCAGTTACATATAAACAAGCAAAGAAAATGTCATATCTGTGTCTGTTCTAATCGCAGATTTTGGAATTGTACCCTTATAAAATTACGAGTACGATCTGTTTTTCTTTACGATTTTACAATTACAGATGCGTGAATTTTATTTACGCACAGAATATTTATGACAGTTATCTTATACTATAGTTATCTATCTATGCCAATGTCTAACGTCTTAACTACTTCAATGATTTAAACTTTTAAAACTACTTCAAACTTTCAGACAAGGCTTTCTCAAGCCACCATAAAGCTACAAACTTTACTTTACTAGTTAGTTAAGTGTTTTTTTACCACTAAATCTAGAGTATATTTCTAAACTCTGTGATTTCTAAAGACAATGTAAGGTCAGTAAGTGTTCTATGAGTTTCAGCAAAGATGGGTTTGGCATTATAGGTAGCCATGATCGATGTTTGCTGTCTAACCCATATCTGTCAGCTCTTTGTACTCTAAAATCCATCTTAAAATGGATTCAAGTTATTTTTAAAAGGATCCAAAACTAGGTTACCTTGCATGGACCAACAACCCCCCCTGCATTTATTATATGGACCTGACGTAAGCAAATGGTCAATCATTCTTGAAGTCACTCCTTTTGAAAACTTCTTTGTATTTAGATGTTCTTTGTGTTTGCAGACGCTTAAAGTTTAAGCCGTGACAACCCCACTATGTCAATTCATCCCATGCCTTTGGTACACAGTTTGTCCTTACTTTCCATACAGGGGGTATGCAGGATTTCAATTACCTGAAGGGGAACTGTTTGGAAATCACCATGGAACTCAGCTGCTGCAAATACCCACCCTCATCCCAACTCAAGACCGAATGGGAAAACAATCGTGACGCCCTACTGGCCTACATGGAGCAGGTACAAGAACTTAATGTGCAAGCGATGACATGCATGGCGAGTTTTTAATGAGGCCTACAGAAATGTCAGTACTGTTCAGCTTTCAGAGTTGTTATGTGTTTGTTTAGATTCATATTGGAGTGCGTGGCTTTGTAAGGGCCGCCAAAAATGAAGCTCCTATCGCTGATGCTGTGATTATGGTTGCGGACATTAAACACAATGTGAGCACCTCACGTTTTGGAGACTACTATCGTCTGTTGCTGCCTGGCACCTACAGCATCACCGCGGTAGCACCGGGGTATGTAGGAATTATTATGGTGTGAATATCTATGATAAAAACTGTACATATTCAATATTCTTAAAAGCTCAATTCAGAAGCAAATGTGAAAACCTTTTTTTAGTTACTTAAAACTTTGCATTTATATTACAAGACTAATGAACAAATGACTCGTGTGAGTTTTTTTTTATTAATGTTATTTAATTGTTTGTTTTTTGTAATTAAAAAAACAGCATGGCCAATATTGTTAGTAACAGCTGATTTTTATGAGAATTTTATGAATGTATAGCTAATTCTGTATTAGTTTTGTAGTCTGATTCACAAATGAGGGTCAACATTTTTTTAACAATCAAAAACTCATTTTTATAACAAAAAAATCAAGAGACTTGAAACCATTTGGCTTATAGTAAAAATAACTAATAAATGACTCTTATAAAGTCCTTCATTTAATAAAAAAATAATAATTATATTAATAATAGTTAGTGCTGGGAACAGATTAATCATGATTAATCAAATCCAAAATAAAAGTTTGTTTTGACATAATATGTGTGTGTGTGTGTGTGTGTGTGTGTGTGTGTGTGTGTGTGTGTGTGTGTGTGTGTGTGTGTGTGTGTGTGTGTGTGTGTGTGTGTGTGTGTGTGTGTGTGTGTGTGTGTGTGTGCGCGCGGGTTTTATATATTTACTATGTATATGTATGGAGTAAATCTAGGGCCATATATACTTAAAATACAAAATAAAAGAACGTTTTGCAAACCAAAAATAAATTATTTAACAAAAAGAAATAAATAAATGCAAAATCTTCAAAAATTGTAAATCAAAAATAATTTTAGAGAAATAAAATGAAATTTGCAAAAAAAAATAAATAAATAATTAAATTAAAAAATTAAAACGTGCAAAAACGAGCAAAATTATTTGGAATAAAAATAAATTAATAAATAAACTCACCATTGACTAAAAAGCAAATCAAAATGAGCATTGCAATTGACTGAACAGATTTTGTAAAGGCAATGCTATAAAAATGTTATGCATATATATATATATATATATATATATATATATATATATATATATTATTATTTATTTTTTTTTTATCTATTTTTATTTTTTTGCTGTTCTTTATTGTTTGCAAATTTTATTTTAATTTCTCAAAACTTAACCCCTCCTCCTTTCTAATAACTGATTTATTTTATATTTGCCATGATGACCGTAAATAATATTTAACTAGGTATTTTTCAAGACACTTTTATACAGCTTAAAGGTTATGTAGGGTAACTAGGCAGGTCAGGGTAATTAGGCAAGTTATTGTATAATAATGGTTTGTTCTGTTGACTTGAAAACAAAAACAGCTTAATAATAATTTTGCTAATAATTTTGTCCATAAAATGGTTTTTACAAAAATAAAAACTGCTTTTATTTTAGCCGAAATAAAACAAATATAACTTTCTCTAGAAGAAAAAATATTATCAGACATACTGTGAAAAATTCTTTGCTTTGTTAAACCTAATTTGGGAAATATTTAAAAAAAGAAAAAAAAAATCAAAGGGGGGCTAATATTTTGACTTCAACTGTATATATGGCCCTAGATTGACTCCATGTATATGTGACACACACACACACATAGACACAAACTATGGAAAGAAATAGTTACTTATTTAAATGTATGTATATGTATGTATAGTTTGTAACATGTACACATATATTTTATATTTAAATATAAATTAACTTTTTTCCCAAACATTTGCATGCCTGTGTTTATACATGCATAACAAAATATACACAGTATACACACGTAATTGGGTCAAAACAAACTTTCATTTTGGATGCATGTAATTGTGATAAATTCTTGCCTAGCACTTATAATAATAATATACTGCAACCTTGCAATAAATAATTCAACAAGCAACTTGCAGGTCTGAAACATTGCCCTTTGGAATATAAAATATTAGCATAGAGAATTTCATGCAAATTTCTTTTTAAATGACTGTAATATACCTAAATGAACTGGAATAGAACTGACTGAAAAGCTTGAGAACCAGAATCAATGCTAAGCCCTACTGTTATTGTAACAAAATCTTTCTTCTGGGACTCTTTCACAGTGAGGTTTACCATTTTTAAATCCATTTTTGTATTTATCTAGCTACATCCCTATGACTGTAGCTGGGGTGGAGGTAAAAGAGGGAAAAGCAACTGTGCTGAATATCACCCTGTTGTCGGAGAATGACGAGAGATCCACAGCCACCCCAAACCCAGAATCCTCCACTGACACCTCTGCCAGCAGCTCTAACAGTGGCAGCACAGACAACAACAGCAACTCTGGTGCCAGCGACAAAGCAGCAGATCTCACAATACAGCCTCAGGAGTTCCGGCATCACCGGTACATTGACATGGAGCTGTTCATGAAGAAATTCAGCTCTGAGTACAGCTCCATCACACGCCTCTATTCCATTGGGAAGTCTGTGCAGAAACGTCTCTTGTGGGTCATGGAGATCTCCAACAATCCTGGTGTCCACGAGTTAGGTACTTCCCTTCCATTTGATGTATATATATATTTTTTTATCATAAAGAACATATGTATACGTCGAGTGTTATGCTCGGTATATTTGCATGAATGTTGTATTTGAAACCGTGTGCTGCAAAACTGTAACAATTTACATTTAGAGTATTTAACAATTCAAAACTTGCAGTTTTTTTTACTTCTGCCAAATGGATAAATGATTTTTCTGATATCATGTCATGCTTGCTGACCAATCAAATACTCTTTACTGTTGGATGTGTCCCATCCCCCGTTAAGTTGTTTTCTTCCTCTGCAGGTGAACCGGAGTTTAAGTATATCGGTAACATGCATGGCAATGAAGTGGTTGGTCGTGAATTGCTCCTCAACCTCATTGAGTACCTGTGTCGCAACTATGGCACTGACCCTGAGGTCACCCAGCTTGTCGACACCACACGGATCCACATCATGCCTTCAATGAACCCGGATGGTTATGAAGTGTCCCAAAAGGGTAAGTCCTTGCCAGCCTATTACTTGTCTCCATTTTTTTCTTTTTTTTGACCAATATTATGATATAAACATGTAACAAAAATTGCAAGCCCTTTATTGTGTTTTTGGAATAAACTGTTCATTAAACAGTGAATATGGAATAGTTATAATGCTAAGTTTAAAGCGTATTTTATTAATTATCTTGTTTGTCAATCAATCAATTATTTATTAATTGCTTTGAAACAGACAGAAAAATATATTACTGTTAGATATCATTATTAATTTTATTATGCTGCTTTAAATGTAACAAAAATGTTAAATTGATGTTTTTTTTTGTAATCTGAGAAACATGATATTAGAAGTTTGTGTTTATAATGGCAACATAGGATAATAATAATACCCTGGTATTATTAATAATCAAAACCTGACATATTACAGATTATTATAATTTTTATTATCATTATTCACTGTTACCATTGTATTTTTGTTTTACAGTCCATCCGGAAAGTATTCATAGCGCTTTACTTTTTCCTTTTTTTTTTTTTTTTTTTGTTACAGCTTTATTCCAAACTTTTTCCAAATTCCAAATTTTGCATTTATTTTCTCAAATTTCTACACACAATACCCCATAATGACAATGTAAAAAAAGATTTTTTGAAATTTTTGCAAATTTCTAAGAAATAAAAAACCTAAAAAATCACATGTACATAAGTATTCACAGCCTATGCCGTGAAGCTCTGAATTGAGCTCAGGTACATTCTGTTTCCACTGAGCATTCTTGAGATGTTTCAGCAGCTTAATTGGAGTTCACCTGTGGTAAATTCAGTTGATTGGACATGATCTGAAAAGGTATACACCTGTCTATATAAGGTCCCAGGGTTGACGGTGCATGTCAAAGCACAAACCAAACATGAAAACAAAGGAAACGTCTGTAGACTTCTAAGACCGGATTGTCTCGAGGCTCAAGGCTGGGGAAGGTTACAGAATTTTCTGCTGCTCTGAAAGTTCCAATGAGCACAGTGTATCTGTAACATCATCTGTAAAAGGAAGATATTTGGAGCCACCAGGACCCTTCCTAAAGCTGGCCGGCCATCTAAGCTGAGTGATTGGTAGAGAAGGGCCTTAGTCAGAGAGGTGATCAATAACCTGATGGTCACTCTGTCTGAGCTCCAGCATTTTTCTGTGGAGAGAGGAGAACCTTACAGAAGGACAACCATCTGTGCAGCAATCCACCAATCAGGCCTGTATGGTAGAGGGTCTGGACAGAAGCCACTTCCTGCCAAAAGGCACCTGAAGGACTCTCAGACATTAAGAAACAAAATTCTCTGGTCTGATGAGACTAAAATTTAACTCTTTGGAGTGAATGCCAAGTCTTATGTTTGGAGAAAACCAGGCACTGCTCATTACCAGGCTAATACCATCCCTACAGCACAGCGGTGGCAGCATCGAGCTGTGGGGATGTTTTTCAGCAGCAGAAACTGGAAGACTGGTCAGAATAGAGGGAAAAATTAATGCAGCAATGTACAGAGACATCCTCAATGAAAACCTGCTTTTAGAGTGCTCTTGACCTCAGACTGGGGCGACGGTTCATCTTCCAGCAGGACAATGCCCTAAAGCACACCTCAAAAATATCAATGGAGTGGCTTCACAACAACTTGGTTAATGTCCTTGAGTGGCCCAGCCCTATATTATTATTAATAACTGTTATCGTTGTATTCTTGTTTGAGCTCCTTACACAAGTTTTATAAAAGTATTATATATTTATTTAGTGTTTATTAAGTTATTCTAGACAATATTTTCTAATATTTATCTATACTCAGTGAGAAAAACTCTCTATGCGGGAGTAACAATATAATATGGATGCAAAGAAACTGCTTTCTTCTGTGCAGGAGATGTCGAAGGCATAAAGGGCCGTAACAACAGTAAGAACTACGACCTGAACCGTAACTTTCCTGACCGGTTCAAACTGATCACCGATCCCATCCAGCCAGAGACCCTGGCTGTGATGAACTGGTCAAAGAACTACTCATTTGTGTTGTCTGCCAACCTTCATGGAGGTGGGTCCTTATTTAAAATGCTTCTGTTTGACTAGGAGCTAATGAAAAACAAAACCGATAACCTCTTTGTCTGTATCAGGCTCTCTGGTGGTGAATTATCCATTTGACGATAATCTTGAGGACGTTATCGGATACAGCAAGTCCCCAGATGATGCTGTATTCAGGATGGTGGCTCTCGCTTACTCTCAGGTGAATACTGGCTTTCTGTAATAACAAATGACTTGAGCTTTGTGTAATCATTAAAGGTTTAATCAAGTAGCAGTTAAATATTCTCTGTCTGAAATTTTCCTTCAGGAAAACTCTGAAATGCATGAAGGTCACCCCTGTAAGGAAATGAGTTCATACCCGGAATATTTTCAAGATGGCATCACCAATGGCGCAGCATGGTACAATGTCCACGGTGAGCACCGACTGTCAGAAAAAGTTTTTTTCGTCAATTGTCTTTATTTTTGGTTTTCAATCTAATGAAAAGAAAACTGCCAAAATATCATTTTAAGTGTTTCTTTTATTACATTTCATACATATTTATATTGGTGAAATTATCTAAATGAGTTTTGTTTTTACTCTTGCACAGAGCTATACTTTTTACTTTAGCAGTACTAATATAGATTAGATTTGACAGTTTTCTAAAGTTTTTAAAGAGGGATATGTTACATAAGTTGCCCAATTATAAATTATAAACCTAATTATAATTCTTTAAAATGATGTTTTCTGGCTCTTCACATTATATTATGAATTATTGAGTCATATAAAAGGATTTCTTAAAATGTCTTAAGTAAAGAAAAACTAAAAAACTTCTGATTTATTCTAAATTCGTTTGCTTGGTTGTGTGCGGCGATTGTGACATCACCGCAGTGTTTGCAGATGTTCGATTTGGGTGCGCGTGACATGCTTTCAGCTGGCAGAGTGCACACATTTTTTTTTTTACTTGAGCAAACAGTTCGCACAGTGCTGCATTACATTTGAGTTGAACATGAATCACTTTGAAGAGATATTGGTATGTGGTACAGACATCTTTATGATCCGTCCATGCGTGATCATAGAAATATCCATATGGCCAATAATTCTTGACTAGACATTGCAAGTTTCTGTAAAAAAGTTTAGAAAAATTTCTGGGGTAAGTTTAAGCCACAAAGAGAGGCTGTGTCAAAGGTGGAGACCCACTTGGTTTCAATACACAATTACAGAATATGTTTTTCCACCAGTCATAGGTTTTACACTGATGTATATATTACACTTTTGAATTTAAAACAAATTAATAGCTACAAAACTAAAATTAATTAACAAATGATTTCTTTGATAACTGGAAAAGAAGATTTGACTCTATCAGTTTACAATATACTGATGCCCTATTTTTTTGGGTGTAGATATGGAGAAGTTCAGTGAGATATCAGTGAGATATTGAGGAGCGAGATTATGAAGTGCCTTGAAAGTTAGAAGTAATATTTTAAAATCAATTCTGATAGAGGAGTGGTGTGACGTGCTCGTGAGATGGGGTCCTAGAGATGACACGAGCTGCATGGTTCTGAACCAGTTGGAGTTTATGGAGAAGTTTGGAAGGAAGTCCAGAAAGAAGTGCATTACAGTAGTCAAGACGTGAAGTAACTAATGCGTGGATGAGAATGGCTGTGTTATTGTTGAATGTTGGTGTGCTGTCAGGTATTGTCACTTTGGAATTATAAGGTTCTATCTGCGTTCTGAATGATTTTGAGATATTGAGCTTTAAAGTTTTTGCATTCCATAGCAAACAGCACGTGTGTAACATTTGTTTTTTTTTTAAATAAAAAGTTTTAAAATATAAACATCCTATATTTTAAATAAGTTATCAATTAATAAGAATATGTCAATAACTCAATTTTGACAAAAACCTTATAATTAAGGTGACAAATTTTGTTCATTTTCATAAACATGAACATGTTCATGAAATTTTATTAAGGAAAGCAAGGTATAAAATTGTGTTATGAATGCATTATGTATTTCCCTCAGGAGGAATGCAGGACTGGAACTACATGAACACAAACTGCTTTGAGGTGACTATTGAACTGGGCTGTCACAAATATCCGCCAGTTGCGGATCTGCAGAAATACTGGGAACAAAACCGCAAATCACTTCTGCAGTTCATCCATCAGGTCTGACTCTTTTTAAAAAAAATTATATTTTCACTTTGCCTTTAAACTGCTTTTTTTCTCTCCGCCTATTTTCTGCTACACACCATATAAACTATTTGTTCGACCATCCAGGTCCACCGTGGAGTAAAAGGAATGGTAATCGACAGCAAAGATGGATCTGGCATTCCCAATGCTACCATCACTGTGGAAACCATCCATCATCAAGTCACATCCAGTTCTTTAGGGGACTACTGGCGCTTACTCGTTCCAGGAAAATACAAGCTGACTGCCTCTGCCCAAGGGTACAATTGTGAATTTTACGCGTGATTACTTTTGACCAAACTGATTTGCATATATTTTAAAGCTCACAGAGGCCATTAAATCCCTAAGTGGTCACTGTTTTAATAATACTAAACATTTAAAATAATTTAATTGTTTACTTAATGGCAGGAATAATGTTGTAACTTTAGATTATTGGAATTAATTCAATTTAGGGAATTTCCTCAAACATTGCTGACATGCAATTATTGACATTTATTTAATGCTATTTATTTCATTAATTGTTTCTAATTATTGATTTTAATTTTGTCATTACATTTCTTATAAAAAAAAACACATTGTGATAATGTATGTACACTGCTCGGCGTAAATGAGTTCACCCCTTTTTGAAAATGAATATTTTTATCCATTTTTTTTTATCATTCAGTGAATATAGCCAATAATGTTTTGTGCATTTAAACAAAACAGATTTATTACTGTTATATCTATTAAAATAAGTTTGTTCAGCTAGTCAGTTTTGGCACAAATATGTACACAAATATGTTATAGTAAAGCATTCTCTAGAAAATATTCATTTAAAAGAGAGGTCTGTGAGGGGTGTGCCTATTTCTGCTCAGCACTGTATGTACATACATGTCCGGGCTTTTCACATTTGGTGCCAATTCTAATTCTCAGCTCATTTCTAAAAAAAAAGTGTTAAAAGTGTTTATGCATTTGTTTAATTGTGTATAAAAAATAATAATAATTGTGTATAAGAATGTAAATGACTCGTACCTTCTCTTTCATCTTTTCAGCTACATGTCAGATAGTTCTTCTGTCACCGTGCCTAAGGACGGATTGGAGATTGTTAATTTCACACTGACCCGGATTCCCACACATGCAAACGGACAGGAGACAGAAAACACAACCCCAGTTTTGGACCCCAGTGTAAGGGAGTTTCAGGCCCTCATCAAGCAGCTGTCAACCCAATCCGGTTTGGACAAACTGATCCAGGACACTCCTACCGAGAGTAGCTTCCGGTACCAGCAGTACGGCGAGGTTTCCGAGTTCCTGCGTGGACTGACACTTAACTTTCCAGAGATTACTTCTCTCCGCAGGTACAGCGATTTTTCTAAACACATCCCACACTTCACACTGATTGATCATTATACACAGACGTTCCTCTTGTGCTGTTTTTGCGTAACTCTTTCTTTTGAGTGTGCAAGTGTGGAGTTCAGTTATATGTTTTTGCGCTTCAAGGGCTAAACATGTCAGATAATGTCAAAATTTTACCTTTTAAAACACAGTCAATTAGGTCTAGATTCAAAGTAAACAGCCGAGGAAGTGTCTCATGTCTCCATGCTTTCAAGGCACCCTCTGACAACTGCCTATTTTCATGCGCTGCGTGATATCATTCCACCTAGTGCAGCCATGGAAGAGCAGACTATCTTGACAATTACGCCAGAATGGAAGTATAGTTCCTTGCAATATTAGCCTAGAAAATAGTAATTTTTCATTTTCCGTCAGTATTATTACATGTTGTAACTACAGAAGACTTAAACTTTAAATACAAAAATAATCATAAGTAAAATAAGTAGGGTTGGGCCGATAGACTATGCCATCGTCCATCGCCAATGGCCGAATAACTTCACAATTCTGAGCCGGCATCGCGATCCATCGCCCCACATTTATACTGATATATAACTTATTGTTTGCAAGTCATCTTAATAGCAATAACGGTCTTTTCATGAGCTGTGTTAAATTTTACATATAGCTGCCGCTTGCACGGCTGACATCATCGTGAGGATTAAACGAAGGATTATACAGTACCTCTCGCGCTTAAAAGTGTGTAGATTTAATAGCAAACGCTGTTACCTGCAAACCCTGTCCCACAGACTTTACAGTGAATGGCTTTAGTTATTTTCATAGCAGACTTGAAGCCACTGAAAGTCTTTTATCCATTCTTGGAAAAGTGTAAATGGTGAATAAACATTCAGCACATGATCACTAATAAGATGCGCCATTATTAGTAACTTTAGGTGGTTTCTAAAACAGAATCTGTCAGTGTTATTTTCATTCGCTCATCTTCAGCTCTTCACATTTTCGTAGTTGTAGCTCCTGTCACCTGAAGGCTGAAGGCATCGATGAGAGATTGACAGCTTATATTAACCAATTAATTCGTGTTCAGTTCTAGCAAACATTCCAGGCTTTTTTTTTACTTCAGCAAGTTCACATAACAACTGTTTTAATCTGATCCTGAGAGCTGCGATTGGCGTTTTTAGGTGCAAAGATGCATTCTGAATAAATGTCTCCTAAATCTGCACACACGGTGAGGATTTTGCAGTGAAAACATTGCAAATGTATGCACTCAACCAATATATATTTTTAGGTCGCATGGATAACATTTCGCGTGCATATGCGACCAAAACGATTGAGCCCTGACATCTCTACTTGTTATTATTTCCTCATAATAATATTAATAAAATAAGGAAGTTAACATCAATGACAATACAAATTACAGCGAACTCCAAACAAATTCTCGTCTCCTCTACAAGCTATGGGAAAAAGCCATTGTAACGACACAGATCACTGCCTATTCATGGCAGAGTCCCGTGGAAAAACTGACTGACAGGTGGTAATTTGTGTGTAACTTTATTTATTTATGGTTTGGTTATGGGTAAAGCAAAGACCATGTGGGTTAGGTAATGAAAACAGTAGGCTACAATTAATTAATTAGTTATGAACTAATTAATATTCAACAACAGCCACCCCCCGCCTTTGACGACGATCCCATCGTCCATCGTGATGTTTCACGTTAGACATCGTGCGATGCCAAATTGGTCTACATCGCCCAATCTTCATGCAAAGCTAAGCTAACAGTGACCCTCACCAGAACAAGAAATTTGCTAAATGGATTCAAAAATGGCTTAAGTCAACTTTTTAACTCTAGGAGACTTGAGCGTGAAAAATGAACGTTTTTCAAAAATAGGTGGAGTGTTTCTTCAATATTATTCAAAAACAAAAGGCAAAATATCTGTTAGAACTTTTTGAAGAATGTTAAGCACAGTTTTCTTCTGTGCATCAGTATTGTTGTATTGGATGGAAATGCCTTATTTGTTTATTACTGACTGCTTGCTGGTTTTTAATAATGTTTTAACTTTATATAAGTTGGGCTAGTATTTTTAATTTTTTATTTTGAATTTGTAATTAAAGGTTAAATAGGAACATCATGGAAAAAGCTAACATTAGCCTGATAGCAATGAACATCAGCATTACAAATATTGTTTCTAAAGACAATCATGTATCTTTTAAAAATGTTGAAATTTATTAGAATAATTTTTGGCATGATTGTCCTTTATTTTATTTTTTTTTTTTTGCACAGTGATCATTTTAGCAGTGCAAGAGAAAATCTAAATAACTAGGCTTACGAGACCTGTGGTAAAAAAAAATCCTTTATACTGAGCGATAGAGCCTTTAACTGGCAATTTTAAATTGGCAAACGAAGAAATGAAGACATGTAAATATTGGCATTTTATCAAAGTGTAAGTATTTCCATGGTTTATAAAAAATGTTTTTGAGGATCAGTATTTTTAAGGTATCTCATTAAAGGAGGTAATACCCGTGTCTTAACAGCACAACACACAAGGGTGCTGTGCCTTTCCCTGAGAGAACACCTGTTCAAAATGAACAAAAGTGTGAAACTTGCTTTAGCTAAATCCCAGATGTTATTTGTGGTAATTACAGCTTGTGTTGAACCAAAGTTTAAGGTCACCAAGTTTAAATGAACAAAGAAAAGGAAAGCATAGTTTCATTCATATGTTTAGGGTGGGTAAGAGTTTTTTATGGCTTTTTTACCACAAGGATAGATTATATTGATTAAAAGTGATAGTAATATTTTTGTGTGTGTATATAAAATACTTTTTTTTTTTTATCAAACTATCCTAAAGAATATGCTTGTAAATTTCCCAGTGTAAATTAAAATGTTTCTCGCTCAGCATGTTAGTATGATTTCTGAAGGATCATGTGACTTTGAAGTCTGGAATAATGACTACTGTAAATTCAACTTCCATCAAAATAACAAATTATATAAATAAATAAAAAGATGATAGAAAACGGGTATGTAAATTGTAACTTTTTTACAAAACAATACAAAAAAGTAAAATACATATATAATAAAAAAGAGCTTGGGCCTTAAGAGGGTAATAATACAACCTTTTTGATAATATAATTAAAATTGTTATACTCATTTTGTTCAGTTTGGACTTGAAGAATAATTGTATTAATAATGCATTTAGAAAAATTTTTTTTTTTTTTAAATAAAAGTGCCTGATTAGGAAATACATTTCACTACATTTACTCATTTTTGATTCATTGTAAGAAAATAAATAATTAAACAAAATAAACTTTTGTTTAATTTTGTTTAATTCTATATTCTAATCTTATTTGAACATGAAATTGTAACTATTTCAGAAGACCATATTAGATTTAATAGTGTTGATCTGATTGGAATTATTAGAACTGAATTTAAAATAACATACTTATTCATCTTAATCTTACAAACAAAAAAAATGTATTTTACTTGTAAAATTTATACAGATTTCAGTGTTTCCTGTAGGATTTTTTTTTCAGCTGTGGCGGCAGGCTTTTTTTTTTTTACACAGATCTAATTGTCATTGAAATAATACCTGTGGCATTATTTCAATGACAAATGTCATGAGCGCAGTATTAGAAGTCGAGATCACATTTATGTAATAACCTACGAACATGCGGATCTCTTTGCTTGCACGCCGATTTCCTCTACTCGTGCACAAAACTTCTTGCACGCCCCTCAAATATAAGCTGCTTCAAGAGCGTGCAGATCTTCTTGTGCGCTCTCAAATAAACGCTGCTGAAGTGCGATTTAGTGCGTTTTTGTAACGAGTATGTCTCCAGCATTTATTAGATTTGCTAGGAATATTTATGAATGTCTTCAATAGATCTACAGAGTGGCACGGCTATACAGTTACGTCGTGTTTGCTGGCCTCACGCACCTACCAGTCAGTACATCACCTTAAAGGGTCAAACAAATGATGCACAGCACTACTACGGCTACAGAAAAGTTTGGGCTGTCTTAATTCACTTACCTTTTAATACGTTTTGGTTTTGAATAAGTAGCAAATGTTTTGAATAAGAAGCTGTTGTGTAGCCATGGCGGGATGAATTTTGGCCGCCATGGAAGAATGAGTGTAGCGGAAACCATGTAATGTAGAGAAGAAAAAAAAATATATATATATAATAATAATATATATATTATTATTATTAAGTATTATTTTTATTTATTTATTTATTTATTTATTAATTTTTTCACCTACACAGTGCTCTATATCATATTTGTTTTTCTTGTTTTTTTTATCGTTCAGTTGATTTTTGAAGGGCTTGAAACATTTGCCATTTCATTCCCTTATTTTATAATGCAGTTTTTAGAAATTGTTATTAATAATTATTAAAAGACAAACCGATCAAAATGCATCAAAATCTAACAATAAACTTTGAAATGGTACTATAGGTCCACAGGCAGTGTTAGGATTGTATTTATATATTGAATAAAGTACTTTTTAGATATAATAACTGTAGCAAAACTTTGAGTAAAGTCAAACAATTTCAGTGATGTCATGATTTTATCATTTTTTTCCCTTTCTGAAGTCTTGGTCAGAGTGTGGAGATCAGGAATATCTGGGCTCTGGAGATCTCCAACAATCCTAAAGTCCAAGAACCGTCAAAGCCCAAGATCCGATTTGTAGCAGGAATCCATGGAAACGCACCAGTGGGCACAGAGCTGCTTCTGGAGTTTGCTGAAAGTCTCTGTGTAAACTACGGCAAGAATGCAGCCATCAACAGGGTAAGAATATTTTGATGAACAAAAAGGACCCGTGATGAGATCTCATATGATGTCATTATTTGAAACAAGAATAACCAGGATGAAGGAAGTAGTTTTGTCTTATGTCATAAAAAGGAAAGGCTTTAACAAATATTCTGGGTTCAATTCATGTTACTATATCTCTATTAAAAAACCCAAAAATCAAAACGGGCAAATCATAATGATCAAAACTTAAAGAAACATGATATATTTAGAAATGGTTGACAGCTGGTATATTTGTGTATGTATATTGAGATATACTGTATTTTAAGGTTTTATTAGTGTATGTTAGCTGATGCCTTTACTAACATGAACTAATAATGAACAATACTTGTACAGCATTTATTAATCATAATTGAACATTCAATAATCCATTATTAACATCCTAGTTCATCCTTGTTACCATAAGTTAATGCACTGAGAGTTAACAGGAACTAATAATGAACAATTTTATTTTCATTGACTAATGTTTCAAATATTACATCGTTTGTTAGTAAATTCATGAACTAACATTAACCAATACAACCTTATTGAAAAGTGTTACAGTATATTTCATGGTAGTACTTTATTTGTCAATTTAAAAAGCAAGTCAATTTTTATCAAGACATACATTTTCATGATTAGATTTTCATCAGGGTTTTTAGCAATATAAATTCCTGCAGCTGAACTAAATTGTAAATTGTTGCTTTTTCGAGCCACTAATTAAAATGTTTTTTCTCTCTACTTGAGTGAGAACTTCAAACTCTCACCACATTGTACTTTGAGCCACAATCCTTATGTATCAGATACAATTCTTTAGCTATATGTGCGTTATCTTATTTAAACCAAGCAGAACAAATTGTAGACACTGACTACGTTTACATGGACACCAATAATTTGATTGTAATGCGATTAAGACAATACTCTGATTAGGAATCTACCATGTAAACAGCAATTTTATGTATATTTTTTATTAATTTATTCTAATTAATGTCATAATCAAACTAAAAAGAAATCAAATTCTAACGTTTGGAGAATGCCAATTTTAGTCGCATTATTGAAATGCAGTAGAGACATGTAAACATCTTAATCGAATTATTATCATCATCTAGGACTTTTCCGCGTTTTGCGACAAAATAATCCACACACACACACACGCTGTTTGGCACTCTTTGCACCTATCGAGTCAGTGCAGACCACAGACACCTGCATTGTGAAATGTGGAGGGTTTTTTTTCTTACATTCAGCATGCGGTATAAACTTCCTATAAAGCAACAGTCTTCCAGCAGTTCATAGTTGCATCCAATATCTCGTTTGTCACGGGGGGCATGCCCAAATAAAAGTGAAAGTGCCAACCGCAGTTAAAGTCTACAAATTATTAATGAAACACTCAAAATTACATGAAACTCCAGAGGAAATGCGGATAGCGCGGTGAAGCAATGACGTTAATCTAAGTATGTGCTATAACATGTAAAATAGGATCATGAAAGAAACATTCAAAAATCTCATGTAAACACCTTAATCTTATTATTGTCTAAGATTAGACTAAGGCAAATAATTTGATTACTGATGTCCATGTAAACGTAGTCACTGTCAATAGTTATGTTTCCATAAAAAGATGCTAATTAAGTTTATGCTTGAAACTAGAATATCGCATAAAGGTTTTGCGAATAAAACAACTTTGGGATCAAATTCCTGCCTAAAGTATTGGGGTCACAGATAGAAAAATAAATAATAAAAAATAATGCGTGTAAATAAAATATTGATATTGCGTGTAAATTTATAACATGAAAAAAACAAAACTAAATCCAGAATAAAAATAAGGAGGTTGTGTACCAAAAGCTAATGAGCTTAAACCAATAATCAAAACGCATTTAGGCAATCAGTTTTTCTGCTCATATTTGAACATTGTGTGCACTTACAGTTGCTCTTGCTCCAACATTCTGCCCTTGCGTTTCCAAAACATGCAATGCGAGTTTCATTTAAATCACAGGCAGGCTTCAGCGTCATCAGTGGTCCACTTGTCGAGATTGACGGTTGCTCCTCTAACCAAACAGATGAAGGAGGAGTTTCTATGCAACACGTGGCAGTTTTCTTTATTTTATTCTGTGTTTACTTCACGCTTTTGCGAGTTACAATTCTACATATAATGTCAATATTTTAATTTACGCGCAATATTATTCTATCCGTGACTGCAAGACTTTAGGCGGGAATTTGATCCCATAAGTACCATTTCCATCTAATGAGTCAAACAAAATCACCACTTCCTGACTAACTGGCGCCAAATATCAAACATAAAAATTTAATTTCTTTATTTAATAAATTACTTGCACCTTAAAAGAAAATGTCAACAAGCAATAAGTGCGTGGTGGCGTTTGAAGTCGTGAGACGCAGAGCACAAATGCTCTTTACAATTCTGGTAATTAATAATATAATAACTCTGAAATGGTTAGGCATTTTAGAATGACCAAAACAGCATTTTAGGTGTTTTACAATGCGGTCAACCTGCTGGCTTGTCCATTAACACATAGTTTAGCACCACATGACATCTTATAACAATATCACATAACTTTTTTATGCACATACTGGAATTTATTCGGTAAAAGTGTTTATGCACATTTTTTCTTATAGAGTAAAAAGTTTATCCTACTCGGGTATGCGCATACATTTTTATGCGCATTTTCAAAATGTATGTGCATCTTGGCGTTTCCATCAACCATTTTTTCATATGCGCACATCCAAAATCCACATAAAAATAGGTGGATGGAAACATAGCTATTGTTATTAGTGATTACGATTTCTGACATGTTTGTTTGTACGTTACCATTAATCTCTCCCATAGGCTTACAAAAATCTTATAAAACCTTCACATGGTCTTTGTTCCCCATCTTTAGCTCATAAATGAGACAAGAATTGTTATCCTGCCAAGCATCAACCCAGATGGACGTGAGCTGGCGAAGGAAAGAGACTGCACCTCCACTGTTGGCATGACCAATGTGCATGGCAAAGACCTTGACACTGACTTCATTGGTGGGATCATGTTCAAATTATCCCTTATGCTTCACTATTTTATGTGTGTCAATAACTTGTGATTCTTTATGTGTTTTTTTCAGTAGGTAATGCATCTCAGCGAGTTTCAGAACCTCAGCCAGAGACACGCGCTGTGATGAATCTGATTCAGGAAAGAGGCTTCACTCTCTCTGTGGCTCTGGATGGAGGCTCATTGTTGGTCACTTATCCATATGACAAACCAGTGCAAACCGGTATGCAACTTAATGCCATTAATTTAGTAATAACTTAATGATTTTGATGAATCGGTTACTAATATGAATATATTAGTATAAAAATCATAAAGATAGATTTTGTCAAAATGCCTAATAAATTCAGTTCTCAAGTTTGTTATTTGCTTCTCAATTTCAGTTGAAAATGATGACACACTGAGATATCTGGCCACTGTGTATGCTGATCACCATCCCACAATGCACTTGGGTAACACTGGATGTCCAAACAGCGTCCAAAGTATGATGATTTCTTCCATTTATTGTTCTTATGTTTTGAAAACAGCCATCTGTCATTATTTCAGTAACAAAAAATGCTCAGCACATTGATTGCAATCTTTTTAATGGCTTAAATTTATAGGTAGAGGATACATTTTTGCCATTTTTTTTAATATATATTTTCTTTCTGTGTTGCTGAGCAGGTAACATCCCTGGTGGCGTCCTTCGAGCAGCAGTGTGGCACAGTCACATGGGCAGCATGAAGGTAAATTACCAACTAAATATAGTAATTTTTTAAAGGCAAGGCACTGCAGGTGAATAAGGTGGAAATTTAACTATGTTAAAAGATGTAAATTAGACCATATTTATTAAAATAACGTCAAATTGTTTTATATGTATATTACAGTCAAAGTTGTTTACAGAAGAGATTTTGTGAAGCTCTTTTTATCAATTCGTAGTTCTGAAAATACTGCAAACATAGTGCACTGAATAAAATGTTGAATAATTGACCCTTCGCTAAGCCCAGCCTCCTTTGTTACTGTTGGTACCTTGTCAGACATTTCCATGGATATAATTAGTCATTTTTGGTGAACAGGTAAGAAAGCCAGACAAAAAGGCCTGCAGTATGCATTACAGGGTCATCTTCACAACATCATATGCAACCGATTAGAAAATAATTGAATCAAAATTGAAGCTGCAGCCCAGCCGCCTCATACGCTGACCATTCAACAGCTTAGTTCATGCACAGCCGGATAGGTGAAATTAATAATTTAATATTAAAAAATTAAATATTTTTAATAATAAAATTAATCTAATAACAGGACTCAAAATTGTGACCATTTTGGTCGCATATGCGCCCAAAATTTTATCTATGTGACCTCAAAATATATTTGGGAGCATTTGTGCGAGCGCATAAAATTTTTGTTTGCGACCAGTTTTTACTGCAAAATGTTCACCACATGCGTGGATTCGGGAGACATTTACGCAGAATGCATCTTTGCACTTGAAACGCAAAACGCAGTGAGTGCTCAGGAATGGTTTAAAACAGTTGTCATGTCAACTTGCTGCAGTAAACAAAGCCAAGTCCATAATGCTTGCCCAGCCTTCGCGCTCCTCTTATTGACCCACTGCTCTACAACTGAACGCGAATGGATTGGTTAAAATCAGCTGTCAATCACTCAGTCAATGGCTTCTGGCTTGGGGTGACAGAGAGAGCTACTACCGCGAATAATTGTAAAGCGCTAAAGATGAGAATGAAGATAACACTGACAGATTTTGTTTTAGAAACCATGGCATCTAAAGTTATAAATAATGACACATCTAAGTAGTGATCATATGCTGAATGTTAAATCACCATCTACACTTTTTGAAGAGTGCATAAAAGACTTCCATTGGCTTCAAGTCCGCTATGAAAAGTGTGTGGGATGGAATTTTCAGGTAACTGTTTGCCACATCTAGCATGAGAGCTTCTATTTAATCCTTCATATAATCGCCAGATGCTGTTTGCTGTGTAATTGGCAGATATATGTAAAATTTAACACCACGTATACCATCGCAAACAGGCTTGCACTGAGTAAACTAATATCGCTACTAATGAAAAGACCGGTATTGCTATTAACATGACGTATGCATATAATAAGTTACAGTATATGTCAAAAGCATCAGTGCAATATCAGACAGCATCCGTGGGAACAGCACAGTTACATCGTTAACAGATTCATTCATGTCAAGCAGTGGGTGCAGGGCCGGTGAGCAGTCCGTGTATCTTTTGGTCACTCAGTTATGGTATAAAAATGTTTTTTCTTGTGATAACGAGATTTCGTTGAGTCATATTTTCCTCACGCATGCTTATATATATTTTTGCTTGTTAGTTTGATTATTGTTGATTTCAAATGCAATAAATATGTTTGTATAAAAGTTGTAGTAACTTTGTTAATAATTAGTGGGTGCAACTAAATTTTGGCTAATTCGCATATATTTGTAAAGTTAGAAGCACCGGTGCAACCAAGCAAAAAGGTTAGTTTCGAGCCTTGAATAATAACAAATTCAACTGTGATTTCTCTTTTTTATTTATTTATTTATTTTTGTCAAAAAGCCTTATTAGACTATTGTTGTGCAATGAAATATAGCGCTAATAACTCAAGAGGAAACACGCATGGACAATACTTCTACATAATTTATTCATAGAAAGAGCAGCCAGAAAATTGATGGATTTGTGCCAAATATTAGCATTATTGACCTAAAACATTGTACAGTACCTATAACTGTCAGTATGTTTGTGTGCTTTTTATATCGTTTCTATTCTAATTTGCAGTTTAGTGGAAAACATAAATAAATTAAAATACAAATCAAAGTATAAATACTAAATAGCAGAAGTGAATACAGATTTAATACGCTACCGGCAAATATTAATCTGACACCAAATATAAAAGCAGACACGCACTAACCCGCTAAACCATCGTCACCTATGGCTAAATCTTCAAATGACAGTCTAAAACATCTGTGAATTGTAGGTCTGACCTGGACATGAGGGTTATAAATAACTAAAAAAACGCTGCAGGTGAAGTATATTGATTGCAAGTGCTTGTTCTGTTAATATGTCATTTCAAATATTCTCAGCTAGAAACAGATGAAATATGACTGGATTGTGCTGCTTTTACGACCCCTCACTGAGCTTGATCCTTGTATTTCTCCACGTGGGTTTTAGGTTTTGTAAAGGGAAAAAAATTCCACCACCCTGTTCAAAGTTTTAGGATACCGGGTATCAGATTTGCACAATTCATATGCACAACGCTTTGGCTTGTTTCCCTTGCTCGAAGCTACGGTTGCTAAGCCACGCTTAGTGTGTGGCAGTTTTCGGGTGTGGCTTAGCGAAGGGTTGGTTGGGATTAATTGAAACAGCCCTTTTATGTATGAATTTTCACTTTATAAAAACCTTCTGATATAAATAAAACGACCAGTCTGATGTATGTAGGTGCTGCTGTACTGGAGAAAAAGCTCATTTTGAGAGGACTTTTAATATGTTTTTTGAATGTTTTCTTTCCATTAGATTATAAAATGAAAAGCCAAAAATCCTGTTATGTCAAAATTGACAGATTAATATAAAACTATTTGCTTGCACGGTCTCGTCTTTTAAAAAAAGTTAGAAGAATTTATTGATTTATTTATTTATATTTTGTGTTAAATTCACCCTTAACAAAAGACTTGAATTACCAGCTGATGGACGAATGTTTAATTGATGGCTGTATTATTGCATAAGATGACATGAGGCAGCTATATCACTGTTTTGTCATTGCAGATATTTAAATAAATGTTTATTAAATAAAAGATAGCAAGTGACCTAATGAACTAAATGACAGTTATTTGTGAAATCGAAATTCCTCCTTTTCTACATGTTGCAGGACTTCAGTGTGGACTTTGGTCACTGTCCCGAGATCACAGTCTACACCAGCTGCTGTCTGTTTCCTTCAGCTGAAATGCTGCCCTCGCTCTGGGCTGAGAACAGGAAGTCTCTTCTGAGCATGCTGGTTGAGGTCAGTCTGTTGTTTTCTCTGTCACTCTGTTCATTTTTGTCCGTTTCATCTTGGCTTTAAGTTTGCTCTTCTGTTGTAGGTGCACAAAGGGGTTCGTGGAATAGTCAAGGATAAGAACGGTAAGCCCATCGTGGGTGCTGCAATTGTGTTGAACGGTGGTGTTCGAGTCTACACTAGTGAAGGAGGGTATTTCCATGCTCTTCTGGCTCCTGGTTTACACAGCATTGAAGCGGTGGCTGATGGATACCAACAGCAATCACAGAAGGTAAATATTTTTTGTTTATTTTATTTTATTTTATTTTATTATTATTTTTATGAATTTTTTATTATTATTTTATTTTATTTATTTATTTTTCTATTGTGTTATTTTTTATTTTATTTTATTTTTATTTTGTTTTTTATTTTATTTTTATTTTTTATTTATTTATTTTTTTGCTTATTTTGTTTTTATTTGTTTTATTTAATTTGTTTTATTTTATTTTGTTTTGTTTATTACTCTGTTTTTATTTGATTTATTTTTTGTTTTATTTTATTTTTGTTTTGTTTTGTTTAGTTTTTATTGTATTATTGTTTAGTTTTTACTTTATTTTAATGTATTTTGTTGTTTTTATTTTGTTTTAGTTATATATTTTTTCATTTTTGTTTTATTTCTATTTTGTTTATTTTTTATTTTGTTTTGCATTGTTTAGTTTTTATTTAGTTTTTATTTTATTTAGTTTTTGTTTGTTTGTTTTTGTTATTTGTGTTGTGTAGTTCTACTACTACTACTACTACTACTACTACTAATAATAATAATAATAGTAATAATAGTAATAATAATTATAATAATTTACAATGTTTAAACTCAGTTAAATTTAATTAAACTGAATAATAATGTACACGGTGACGCAGTTGCACAGTAGGTAGTGCTGTCGCCTCACAGCAAGAAGGTCGCTGGTTCAAGCCTCGACTGGGTCAGTTGGTGTTTCTGTGTGGAGTTTGCATGTTCTCCCTGTGTTCGCATGGGTTTCCTTCGGGTGCTCTGGTTTCCCCCACAGTCCAAAGACATGCAGTACTGGTAAATTGGGTAGGCTAAATTGTCCGTAGTGTATGAGTGTGAATGAGTGTGTGTGGATGTTTCCCAGAGATGGGTTGCGGTTGGAAGGGCATCCTCTGCGTAAAAACATATGCTGGTTAAGTTAGCGGTTCATTCCGCTGTGGCGACACTGGATTAATAAACGGACTAAGCTAAAAAAAAATGAATGAATGTACAGTTTAATGTACACACAAAGGTCACAAACATACAGTTTCAGTCATCAACATGACCATGTTCACCTTTTATTCAAACAAATGGGAATTAGAGTAATCAATAGGAATATACTGGAATGACATGAAGTAAATAGGTTGAGGCCCTTAAGTAAATTTGAATGAAATCACCAATTAAATTTAAAGTACAACTGAACCAAAAAAAATAAACAAAATACATTTAAAGGTTATTGAAAATGTAAAAAAATGCTTTAGTATTTAAATAACATTAAAACAACTGTTAACATCAAAACACAGTCACCACGTCACTTGCTCTAGTTTACTAGCGGAATGTTTTTTTTTTTTTTTTTACCTTCCCCAAATGTTCTGCTTGTTGAATTATTTGAACTTGCTCCGTAGACAACAAACGCACAGCTTATTCCTTGCCATTTGCTCCTCCCAGTGAAAATTCACCTTTGCACATTTTCATTGGTTTAGTTTGTAATCTTATGTGAATATTACATTCGTCATTTGTGTTCTTAACCCAGTACAACTGAATTACCTGAATTTAGTTTTTTTTAAATCTTATCTTATGTTATTTTATTTGACATGTTCCTGTTTGTCATTGCAGGTGTCTGTGTCGCAATTTGAAGCAGCAAGTTCCATTATCATTGAGTTTGACATGGAGAACGATATATTTGGCCTTCCCAGAGAATTAGTAGTGGCGAGTGCAGGTAGGCGACTCCAATCGCTCACAGCTGTTAACACGTTATTTTTTGTCTACTTTGTTCACCTGAAAGATGGTTATCCGGGTTACAAATGAGGAGAGCCTGTGGGGGGGCGGGGTTTGCGGGAGAATAGGCTCGTTTGAGGTGCGCCTCGCCTTGACTGCGTTGCAGATGAAAGCAGGTGTCTGCAATAAGAGGAGGGCTCAAAAGACACATCAGAAGTCAGACACTTCCAGAAACGCCTGGAAACGTCACCAGTGGTGGAGATTGCGTTCGTGTTTTTTCTTTTTTTCGCGGACGACTGACCTCATGAAAAAATACTATGGTGATTTATAGTAATTATTATAGTGTTTTGAACATGTTTTTCAGTATTGGGTTATGTTTATAGTTATAGTGATACCAGAGCAACTACAGAATTCAAATTATAATATAGTTCAAAAACATTCCTATGAATTACTATAGTATTTTTAAATGTGGGAGTGGATGCAATTTAACTATCACTGTTTTTACAAAAAGATGGTCACAATTACAGAAGATAAACAACTTATTACTTAAAAGAGTGTATTTAAAATACAAATCTGTATATTCAACAGTGGTTTATGTTAAAAGAGTGACTAAATGAATAGCTTATACAGCAAGAAAGCTTTCAATAAATGTAATTTGGCCACATTATAAATTAAGTAGCTATAGCAAGATGCTTTTAAGTGACAGATCATGACAAATGTTTGCTTGTTTTGCTAGGAATGTCACTAGAATTTGGCATTTTATTGAACAAGTGGTCCATTTCTATAGTCATTTCAGACTTTATATAGAGGGCATTCTATACAGGTATAAAGGGAAATACAACTAAAGACAAAACTTAGCTTTCTTGTGAAGATTAAAGAAAAAATGGTATTTCATCAAATATGTAAAAGTGTTGTTTAACAGATTTAGTTTTTTAATAATAGTTTTATAAAGTAATTTCTACTAACTAATTTCTCTAGTCTTTGCCATGATGACAATATTTTAATATTATTTATATATATATATATATATATATATATATATATATATATAATAAATTATATATGTAACATAATTTTGTACTTTTTTTTGCAAGATACTTTTATTTAGCCTACAGTGCAATTTAAAGAGTTAACTATAGATTAATTATGTTAAAGAAAAATGAGAAAAGCCATTGGACAACAGCCGTTTGTTCTGTATAAACAGCTTTTACCCCAGCCAGACTAAAATAAACAGCCCAAGACTCTCCAGAATAAAAACTATTAGGCTGTATGAAATTCTGGGAAAATGTTATTGGGTTTATTAAACATAACTTTTGATTTCATTTACGTTTGTGTGTGTGTGTGTGTGTGTGTGTGTGTGCGTGTGTGTGTGCGTGTGTGCGTGTGTGTGTGCGTGTGTGTGCGTGTGTGTGCGTGTGTGTGCGTGTGTGTGCGTGTGTGTGCGTGTGTGTGTGTGTGTGCGTGTGTGTGTGCGTGCGTGCGTGCGTTTTGTATGCATTCATATATGTCTGTTTTGGATTGACTTTTATGGAATAACGTTGGCTCAAATTTGCAATAAGTTCACACAAACATACAAAAAAGTGAAAATAAACGTGTTTATTCAACTTTACAACAGCAAGAGCCTAGTTTTTCAGGCTGATCAGAATTGATTAGAATGTAATATACTATATTAACATGCTTATTTTAAGTATCTTATTTTTCTACCTCATTATTCACTCCCCAGCTGCCGCAATGACGGCACTAGTCTTGACCGCCTGTATCATCTGGTGCGTCTGCTCGGCCAAATCCAACAGACATAAAGATGGCTTCCATCGACTACGGCAGCATCGAGATGATTATGACGACGAGGTCCGCCTCATGTCTATGGGCTCCAAAAAGTCTCTCCTCAGTCATGAGTTTCAAGATGAGAGCGAAAGTGATGAGGATACACTGTACACCAACAAACTCTGAGTCAGCCCACTGCAAGGCCAGCAGAGGGCGTTCAATGTCCAAAACCGTCGGTAAACCACCACAGGATGCACTTTAATGGCCTGGTGAATTCGGGCAAGCTTTTTTTCACCGTAGTGTATGCAAATAACCACTGCTCTCTCAACCAGCCTGCTTCGTTATCTGGGTCTCCGTAATTCTGGTCCTCTACCCTTTAAAAAGGAAAGCGAAGAGCTAGAGTCCATCTCAACAGGATTATGAAACACTGTGCCTTGTTAGATTAGAGGATGCATGGTCGCTGCTGTGGTGAGGATGACGATTTTCTAGTGTAAATGGAATTTTCCGCCCATTTTCTTTTTTTTTATCCTTCTGTGGACCCGGATGGGTCAGGAATCCATCCATATGAGAGTCTGGTCAGATCATCTGGATCATTATGAGTTGTCTTTGCTGTTCTTTTTATGTGCAGCCAACAGAATGGCTAATATTTCACATTATGGGGACTAATTAAGGCATTTCATAAGTGATATTAAAGAGATAGCTCATCCAAAAAAAAATGCTGTTAATCTACTCGCCTTTAGACAAGATAAGGTATATGTGACTATCTTCAGTAAAACCTGTGGAGAAAAAAAACTGTTGCTCTTGGTGATTTAGAAAAAGTTAACCAATGCAATTGGCTATAGTCAATACAACTTTAAGTCAGAAAAACTTAAACAGGCAAGAACAACAAGCTTCTGGCCATACGTTTGAGGCCTCATGAAGCAAAACAATAGGTCTGTAAACTGAATATTATTCATTTTTATTTATAAACAAATGTTACAGGAAACGTGTTGCATATTTAAACATATATGACGAGAAACTTGCGCTACCCTGGCTCACGCTGCTCCACACTGCCCTGAACACACTCACAACTGTTTTCTGTAGCTGTGGATTAAAGTTAATAATAATTCTGTGCCTTGACAACTGAAAACATCATAAATATCCACAGGGATTCATTTTGTCTTGCCTGTTTTGACTCTCAAAATGCCAGCAGCCACTTTTTATGAATCACCAAGGTCTAAAAATTGTCCTTAATGTAGAAGAAAGCTACCAACATATTTGATGGTAAATTACCAGCAAATATTCAAGGTTTTTGGGAAATCCACCAATGGGGGATAGTTCACACAAACATAAATATGCTGTCATCATTTACATTTACTTTCATCTTCCACTTGTTTCAAACCTGTTGAACACAAAGGGAGAGATTTTGAAGAATGTTTTAAAAACACTAACTTCCACAGTATTTTTTATGGATGTCATTGGCTGCCCAATACCCCCCCCCCCCCCCCCCCCCCCCCTCTCCACCACCACCACCACCATTCCTTTAAAGCAAGTAAATGGGCTCAATATATAAACTCTTTATTTTCAGCAGAATTTTTTTTTTCACTTTAAACTACAAATGCTGGCCTTAACCCATCTCGTTGACTTCTATAGTATATTTTATAGATGTCAGATATTATATAGATGGCTTTTTTCCTCTTCCATTATTAAAAATACTTTAATTTTGTGTTTAACAGAAGAAAGAATTTAATAAAAGTTTAGAACCACTTCAATCTGAGAAAATATTAAGGGAATTTTCACTTTTTGGGGTGAATAAGCTCAACAGAGTGCAAATTCCAAATATAAACTCAGTATTTTCAGCAGAACTGTTTTAAAATTTACTTTTAAACTACTAATGCTGGCCTTAATCCATCTCTGTGGATTATATCTCAACATAATTGAGCCCCATTCACTTGTGGAGGAAAATGCTGAAATATTTTCATTTTCAAAACCTCAATTTCTCTTCAGCTAAAAAAAGCAAGCCATTTGCATGTTCGACAGCTCAGGATTGAGTATTAAATCAAGACGTTTACATTTTTTTTTTTGGATGAACTATTCCTTTAAACATCTCAGACTGCCAGAAATATATTGTCCAAGTTGTTTTCAGACAAATGTAGATATTTACATTAAGCAGTCTCCCATTATTCATAATAAGAGTGACATGTTAGATACATAGCAGACAATTATGCTCAATTACTGCCTTCTCAATTCTCTGTAATTTGGACAATCAGGGATACGGTAAAACCTTAACATAACCTTAAAACTATGGATATGATCATGTTTAGTCAGTGTTTTTGGGTTGTTTTGTCTTATTGTGCACTCTTTACATTGTTGTCCCAGTTTACTTTTTAAACATATTTATTTTAGTTTTATCCATCCAATGAAAGACTCCTCTCAGGCATCCCTGAAAGATCCAGAAGACCGATTTATTGAAATGTCATCACTTAGTTTAGTGTTTCTCAACCACGTTCCTGGAGGACCACCAACACTGCATGTTTTGGATGTCTCCTTAGTCTGTTACACCCATTACTGGTCTTTGAGAAACACTTAAAAACTGGTTGAGAAACACTTATTTATTTGACACATTTAAATATTATTTGCAGTTCAGGGCATCCAGTGTATATTTAGATCTCAGTGACCAAGGGAAATCCTGTAAGTCTTTTACAAACTCATCAAATATCTTGCTTTAGACGCTTCATATATGTATGTACAATATTGTTTTTTTTTTTTTTAATCAATCGCTCACTGTTCTGCCATCTAAAAACAAAAGCAAGTATATGGATGGAGTTATGAAGAGTGGTGAGACTTTGATCATGATCATGCTTTTAAAACGGTGAAGCAAGAATCGTCCTGTTAAACCTTAATAAACAATTAAGACTCTTATTTATAATGCATATCATTCTGTGCCAGACTGATCATTCATACAAGTCAAATGTTGATATCTGGGAGAACGATGTTCGTATGATTTAAGTATTTGTTGATCCCATTGCCGACAATATCTGAAATGAATTTGGCTTGATGTTGATTGTCATGCTTGAATGTAAATTTCTGGGTGTTTGAACAAATACGTTGAACTTTTTTATGTTTGTGCTGATGTTTATTTTCTTCTTTTTTATATACAACAATGATTGTAGATATTGAATTGTTGCCAACTATATGTACATTACACAAGTGCAATTCCTGTCAAGAGTGAAAGAACTGCACAAATAAACCTGTTTATGTGTATTAAAGAAACGAATGGTGTGTGTGAAATGAGATGTTAATAAAGATCAGACTTTGTTCTGGATAGTTTTGTGTTTTCCTTTAATGTTGTCATGTTTTGTTGTTACTTAATAAAAAAAACATGATTTAAACCACTTTATTTTTTATTATTATATGTTTTTCATATATAATCTAGTTTAACCAAATTTAAAAGTTCTTTACTCCATCCATCCATGATCGATCTATCCATCTATCTATCCATCTATCCATCTATCTATCTATCTATCCATCCATCCATCCATCCATCCATCCTTCTTTCTTTCTGTCATGTTTATTTAGTTATTCATTTACAAATATAAGAACCCAAAAAATGTTTGGATTATATTACAATATCATAAGTTGTATACATCTAGGTGGAGTAAGCAAAATATCATATAATTTATATATTTTATAATAATTTAAATGAGTAGGAAAATATATTTAATACAACTTATAAAGTCAGAATCAGAGGTTCAAATGAGTTTTATTTGGCAAGCGTGCACAAATAAACACTTCAATCAAACATTAGGATAAAATAACCAACATCTGTAGTTATAACATTATAATGTTTTTTTATGATATATTGCTATTCTATTTAGTAAACGCGTAAAATATTAGATAGACTTTAGTCTATAGCAATTAACTGAAGAAAAAAAATATAAGGAAAAGAAAAGTGGGTTGTTAAAAGGAATACAGCTTCGAGAATTGTTTAAACTAATTAATTGTATATTATTAAAGTCTATCCCAACCCCAACTATCACATTAATGTAAAAAAATAGTAATTATACCGAGTATTATTCATATTATTTATTAAATTGTATTTCATTAACGTATAGTCTACCCTAATCCTACCCGTCATAGTAATGCCAATAAGTAATCCGCAGCTGTATCCCATCTAGACTTCAACAGGAAAATGGCCGCGCGGGGGCGCTGTGATTGCCCAGCGCAACGCTGAGTGTCGTAAAGTGCTCTTGCTCGAATCTCCGCCTCTGCCAGCGTCACCGCGGATGACGTGCAACAACAAAGATGGCAGGAGGAAACAGCAACTATTGGGAAGGTGAGGTGGCAAAGCGTTACAAATTCCACTCGACCAAAAGCTTTATTGCGCTCTGTGACAGCTCACGCCGATGCCTTCTTCTGAATGATATTTGGTGACGATTCAATGAAAACTCAAACAGGTTACCCCGTTAACTAGCGCTGTTAGCATTAGCTCGCTAAGTCCGGAGAAACGTCAGTGCTTTCGATTAGCCCGAAGACCTGATGAATACTGCAAAATATCTATTACTTCTCTATATTGGACAGTGTGTTACATAGCGTTCATTTTCTACATTAATTGTTAGTTTAATGTGTCAAGAAACGTGGTTGGCGTACGTAGCTTTATGTGAAGATGAAACAAGTTTGTTTGTATACTAATATAAAGTAACCTCTGGCTTATGTTTCAAAATCTAATCAGTTTCTATACAGGCTTCGATGTACGTTTGAAGTATTTACACGTGTATATGGTGTCTAAAACAGATAGTTACACTAACCTTGGCTATTATAGTAGCAATAAATATGCTTTCAAACCTAACTTACAATGTTTGAGAGGTATAACTAACTAACGTTTCCCTCTGAAGTTATTGGGGTAAAGTTGGTTTTATGTTTGGACATTCGTTCACTTTTAAATAGTGACAATTTCTGATGTGCTACTTTAAATATTGGGACTGAAATCGCATGTAATTATGACTTCAACAACATTAACATTGTACAGCATTGTAAGTTCAGTTACACATTGTACTGGACACCAAAGAAACGTTTTCTCTGTAAAGTGTTCTCAAGTCCCAATTGCAGATTTGTTCTCACCAACAGGTTGTAACATTTATACATATGGTGTGGGAATGTGAAAAGGTGTGCGTTTTGGGGGAAGAACTGTGCGAACATAAAACCAACTTTACCTCTATGTCCGTATGTGTGAATATAAAATCAAGTTAACCTTAGTACTGAATTGTCAGTTTGTTTTACTGTTACTGTTTTGTCTTTAAATTATAATGCAAATGTAAATATAATGAACATGAAAATGTTCCGACCATTTAACACTTTCTACAGTTTTCTAATCGGTTTGTATTATGAAAAATTGTTCAGACTTTCTATTACTATAACCGCACATTCTCTATTCGGTCTAATCTATATATATATACTTGTTTTAATACAAATGATTTCTTTGATCTAACGCTATATATTCCTAGTGCTCTCAACTAGGCATGGAACGATAACCGTTATCAAGGTATACAGCGGTTTGGAAAAGTCAGTGTTTTAAAACCACCAACATTTTCTGCTATACCATTTCTATTTTGTGTGTTAGATTTTTTATTTTTTATTTTTTGTAACATTTTTAGGACAACTGTATCTCCAGCAGAAAAGATATCCGAAGATGCTGTTGTAAATTGTAATGAAATCTGTGTTTTTGAAACTAATGAAGACAGCAGAAGTCAATGATTCATTTTAATGTTTTAGCCTGACATGTTTACTGCTCCTAAATATTTAACATGTTTCTGAAAATCATATATATATATATATATATATATATATATATATATATATATATAGTGTTTATTGTTGTTTTTAACCCAGACATTTAAAAATAAAATATTTAGATAATAGAGCAGTAATAAAACTGGGATACCGTGATATTATTTTCCAAGGTTATCACACCATCAGAAACTTGTACCGGCCCATGCCTACTCTCAACAGCACTGACAATTCATTTTATATTTTCTTTTCAACTTCAGCCATATAACAGTGACACACTGTTCTATATTTAGATTTTTTTAATACTTAAACTTGTTCTAGGGCAGGGGTGTCCAATCTCGGTCCGGGAGAAATTCTGCAGATTTTAGCTCCCAACTTGCTTCAACACACCTGCAGGATGTTTCTAGAAAGCCTAGTAAGAGCTTGATTAGCTAGCCCAGGTGTGTCTGATTGGGGTTGGAACTAAGCGTTGCAGAACACCGGCCCTCTAGGATTGAGTTCGGACATGCCAGTTCTAGGGCTTAACAATAAGGACTGCCCGATGGCCCGGGGCCAGTATGTGAGATGCTTAGGACAGTAGACCGGATCATTACTGGCCTGATTTGGAGTGCTACCTTGTCACTAAAGTTTAGTTTGCCTGTTACGATTTGTCAAGTGCATGCAAATACAGTCTTAGAATCAAGAAACATTTTGTGCTTTTAAGCCTTTAAATGCTACCTTCTCTGTGAAGGTAAACACCATATTGCTTTTCAATATTGCTTATGGTATTGGATGTTGTGAGCCCATTATTTTTTCCATAACTTGGTAACAACCAGTACGGCGAAGAGTTGGCAACTTCAAATTATGATACTAAAAAATGTCTATTTCTAATGTGTTGGAAGCAAGAACTTGTCTTATGTGGGTAAACATGATAAAAAAAATTAAGTGAGCTTTTGCACAGTTTGCGGTCAGTTTGGCAAGTCAGCCACATTTTGTTAAATAATTTAGAACTGCAATAAAATGCCTGCACATTTCCTATACTGCTCTTTTTGTTTGCAGAGCATTTTGAATTTTGCTCATTATACATTTTTTAAGTTTTAAATTCTACATTTAAATTCTAGACCTGCAAATGTTATTTTTGACACATCATTTAAAATATCTGGCTAAGAAATAGTTATTAACTTTTTTTGTTTTTTTTGTGGGGCCAGTAGAAATATTCAGGCCAATAGAAAAAATCCTTAGCGTTGAACCCTGTTGTTCTGCTTTAAACTGACTGGGAGTTGCCATATTATTTGCATGTTTTATTTTTGTTGCTTTAACTTCTGTTGTTTTATTAGTAAGTACTGTAGATAATAACATCTGCTAAATTATTAAATGAAAATATTGTTATGTAAACCTCCACTATCCGTGAAGGTTATTATGCTTATTGATTGATTTGTGTTATGTCATTAGTCTTTAATTTTATAGATTTGCATAACCCATGACATCATTTTCTAAGTGCAGAATGTTTTCTCGTTTTATTGTGTGTTGATAGACCTGCGGAAGCAGGCGAGGCAGCTGGAGAATGAGCTGGACCTGAAGCTTGTGTCCTTCAGTAAGCTCTGCACCAGTTACAGCAGCTCTCGGGACGGCCGCAGAGGAGACAGGTGTGACTGTCGCTACCGTAACTCGTACAGGAAATTTTGATGTTTGATAAATAGGGATGTAACGGTATCAGAATTTCACGGTACGGTAATACCTCGGTATGAATGTCACGGTACGGTATTTATTGAATCATTTACAGGAAAAAAAAAACTTTTGAAAATACTCCAAAAAAGTGCCAAAAGTGTCAATGACATACAAATTAGCCATCTATCTGTTAGCTTTGAAACAGGAACTTCAATTTTAATAACAAAAAATTATTAAACCATGTAAAAAAATAAAGTTTCAATTTAGTAGTGTTGAAAACTCATCACATTTAACATTTAATCACTCACTTAGATAGAGATGGGTTTAAAGAAAAATTATCATATAATTATAATCTGGTAAAAGCTGGTATCTCTGGGTATTTACAATGTCCCCTGCAACAGAAAAAAACCCTCTCATTTGGGACTGAGGTTTCTGGGACAAGAGAGATATGACTTGGCCCATGTTGACAGCAGTGGGGTAACGTTGTGCATTGTCTTTCCCCCACTTGAGAAGACAAACCATGAGTGAGATAGAGGTCTCTTTGCGGTACAAGTCAATGTCTGCATCAATCTGAACAGTGTGCTGTGTTTCTGCAGTCCCCATGACTGTTATTAGTCGTATTCCCCAACTTGCAGGCACGTGCACACATAGGGCTCAACCTGTGCAGTGCGCATGCCCTTTTTAGTCTTGGATAGAAAATGCCCTTCCAAAACGATCAAAAGTGCCCCCGCGACGCGACACAACCTCCGTCCAGTCCAGCCCTTCAGTAGGCGCGCGACAACACCTCTCGAGTATGCGCGCTCAACCCCCCCTCGGCGCTTTACAATACGCGCGCCACAACACAGCTGATCAGAACGCGCGCGACAGCACCGCTATTCAGCACGCGCGCGG